GTTTGGGACTGAAGGCCACCCTGTTGCGCAACAGCTTCCGAGAGAGATGCATGCCTCTGATACACCTAATCAAGCTGTGGGGGAGGAAGTATGCCTAAAGCCACAAACCCCTAAACCTAGACTGCACCGAGATGCTGGGCGGCTGGACCACGGATGCATGGCTACTTTGCTCCACCTTTGCAGAAGCTCCAGCAAGGCCTGGGCGGCAGCCGGGAAGGAAAAGACTTGGCTTCAGGGGTTTGATCATTCAGTGGCTTAAGCGGCTAGCTTCGGTTCACATCCTATGCTGAGCTCCAAGATACAGTAAGGGATTCAACGCGCCGGACCGTCCTGGGTCCCTGCGAGTTCCACTCATGCGGAGATTTATGTGCATGGCCCTTTTCCTTCCATGCGGGCAAAGACTCACAGCCCTAGGCAAGGGTTGCTACGAGGGATCTGCGTCAATTTAGAGGTTCTGGATACCACCCCAAGCTTGTGGTGCCCTTACGATCAGGACCTGGAAAAACACGAAGAAAAGACCACACCTTATTATTTGGCACAACCAAACAGTTTACTGACAGCAAAGTTGGGCTTTGCCATGTTGAGCGTGAGCTTTTGTGTTTGGAGCTTGTGGGTTTGCAGAGTTGATGGGCCATTGTTGCAAATGTTGACTCGGACCCTCCCATCCTCGCAGAGCTTGGGTTTTCTTGTCACCGGTCCTTGCAGGATGCATTGAGTTTTGAGTTGCACGGAGGACTACACGGCTTCACACATGCATAAAACCAAATCCTGAAAGAATCCTTGACCTCTACTGCATGATGAAACACAGTGATGGGCTCTAAGCTGCCAGAGGAGAATGACAGAATTACACGACAAGGCGGCTACTTATCTTGTTCAGGGGTCTCACCAGCATAGGCAAAATCATTCTCAGTAACGCACCAAATCTGAGGCTCTCCGCCCTGTGAATAGGTCTTTCTTTCTTCAAGAAAGAGTCCTGCTTAGGCAGAATCTTAAACCTCCCAAGCTCTAGACCATCAGCCCTGCTTGTTGCTGTGCCTCTTGAGCCACTCGTGAAAAGTACTCTGTAAGCCTCACAAACTACTTTTTCCTTCAAATACAGCGAAGCATCTTGGAGAATCGGATGGGCTCAGTAAGTTGCTGGCTCTCCCGCATGCACTGACAGCTACTGTCGCCCCAACGCCCTACCCAAAGTGCCAAGTTTCCCCAACCCCAACCCCAACCCAAAACCATTAGCTTGAAACGCCAAACCAGAAACCTGATACCTCAAACTGATGGAGCCCGTGGCAATAAGCGTTTCTGCCCCGCTGTCTCTCAGGGACGTTGTAAAAGCTTCCGCGCCATCTGCTCTGTCCATGGCGCCCAGTGCAGTGTTTTCGGGCATGTGAGTGGAGAGGAGGAGGGGTTGGGTGCGGCAACGTAGCATAGTCAGATGCGTTGAGTTCAAAGCGAAAGTAGGGTGACTTCTCAGTTGTAGTTTTACACAGTTTGGCTGGGTGTGGGGCTTTTGCTGATTTCAAGGACAGGGGTGGTTTCCTCTTAGGGCTTGCAAGCAGGATGTATGGGAGCACATGCTTGTGCGCATTAACATGTCACAGAGCTGCAGCTCGGGTTCACGTGTAGCGTGGGCTCGAGCTGCCCGTTTCTTTTGAAGAGATCCACCTAGATTGGAGTCAGGCCATGGCTGCCTGCAGTGAGCGGGAGCGTATCCTGGCAATTCAGGTCTTGGAGGACTTGGGCAGGACTTCTGGTCTTGGATTCCACGGGGTCATGGATGCGGCTTTCGAGGAACTTCGTCATACCCTGATCGAGGTGTGGAGCAGGGTTGACGAGGATGCTTGTCATGTCCTGGCGCCTTTTCTGGATCTGCTCACTACTTTGCATTGTGATGGAGATAGGGCTGTTCAGACGGCCGTTTTTCGTCCGGGCTGTTTGTCGCTCAGAGATGCCATTAGAGGGATTCCTGAGTCCGGGTTCGACTTTGGCCGTAGGCCCCTTTGGTTGATTTCGCTTGTCCCTAGATTTGGGGGGGCCAGAGAGAGCTTGCGACGCATCTTGGCGGCGGCCGGCTGCCCCGAGGACAGGACTTGCAGGGTTTGACACCTCAGCGGTGTACCTTCTGAGCAAGCAGCATGAAACGTGACCTTGCACTTTGCCCGCAGTTTTGGCCCCATGGCTGCTCAACTTTGGGAGACGTTAGGCGCTTTAGGCCTGTCCGAGTTCGCACCCGTCTTCGTTGACTGCAGGGTTTTCTCGTTGCAGGAGATCCCGGCCCATGCTGCACAGTTGTTGGACAGGGGGGTGCCTAACTGGGCGCTGGAGCTTGTCTTCCGCAAGCAACAGATACCTGAGGCCCATGTGGCGGCTCCACTGAAGAGATCTGACTTCCCGGTTCAGCCCAAGCATCAGCAGGCCTCCGCTGGACAGGCGTTCGCAGCCGCTAGGCCTGAAAATCGTGCAGCAGCTTTTACGTTCCCTCAATGATGATTTGCTTTCGAATACTACACGTGCTTCCAATGATTCACGTGTCAAGTTTTATGAGCAGATCTGTGCGGCTTGGGAAGTGCCCGCTTGGCCCATATCAGTGTCTTCTGTGCAAGCGTTCGGAGCTAGCCTGAAAGCCGGAGCCTACAAGAGCTCTTCAGTGTACTACTCTGCTTTGGCCACTCACCAGGTGCGTGTTCTGGGCAAACCAGTTGAGGATGTCGTCCGCCAATGCATGAAGGACACAAGGCGGTCTATCTCACGAGGCGCCGGCACCTCTAAGCTGAAGGCCAGCTTTATGGTCTCGGCTCTTGAGCGGGTCATTGGCCTACATTTGTCAGATCCCTTCTGCATTACGATCCCAGGGTGCGCAGTGGACATGTTGCTGATCATGACGTGGTTCATGCTTAGGGAACTGGAAGCCGCTGCACTACGACTGACCAGCCTCGCCGTGAATGAGGATCGCTTGGAGGCTACATTGGTCATTGCGGTAAGTAAAACCGATACCCGCGGAGAGTCCACGGCCCGTACTCTCTCATGTGCATGCAGCATCATGGTTCAGAGGTTGTGCCCATTCCACGCCTGTGTGCGACATCGCCGTAGGCTGTTGCTTCTGGTGGGCGAGTCACCTCCACAGGACTGTCCGCTCTTTCCTGCGGACGAGGACTTGGCAGTGGCGTCCAAGGCTCAGATGGTTGGAGCCATGCGGGGCGTCTTGGCTGCTTGCGGGATAGACTTGTTTCAGACCCTGGAAGACGGAAGGCAGCTTCACAAGTATGGCGGGCATTGCGCCCGAGTTTCGGGTGCACAATGGTTGCACACTATGGGGTTGCCCCTCCATATGATTCAGGCATTGGGTCGATGGTCGTCTCAGGCAGTGCTGAGGTACATTCAAGACGCTCCTCTTCAGGTATTGCCACGAGTCGCTGCCACAGCTTTGCTCCAGGGAGCGCAGTCTTGGGCAGATTCATCCTCGGGTTGTCGTCCTGCGGTGGTGGCGGATGACGAGGCAGCCGACGCAGAGCACGAGCAGCCTCGCAAGAGAGGCAGAAAGCCACACAGGGCTCCAGCAGGCGAGACCCAAGCTTCAGCTGTGACCAGTAAGGGGCTTGATTTTGTTGTGGTGCAGCCGGGTGGGGCGGAGTTGCAGCCTCTAGGAGTCGAGCAACAAGTGGAGTCTTTGAGGTCCAGCGTGGATGCACTCAAGGTTGCAGTGGGCCATCTCCAGGATGCTGAGACCTTCATAGTGCAAGGTCGTTCCCGCAAATATCACAAGCCCGCGGTTAACGAGCGAGCTAACGCTCCAGCCACCTGGAGAAGTGTATGCGGCTGGCAGTATGGGCTTTCTAGATTTCACCGCACGTTTGGTCTGGCCGATGGTGCCAACCTTTGCAAACGTTGCTTTGCTGATAGCTCAGTGATTGCCAGTAGTTCCTCGGACACGAGCGGGGACAGCGGCTCCTCCTCGTCATCGTCTGACTCTTGATCTCTGCAGTTGACCGCAGACAGTTTTGTGAAAGGGTAGGTTGCGTCCGCTTTGACCGGCACTCACTTCTTCATTCACGGCTCCACCTTTGCTGTGGCAGGACTTGTGGCACGAGGACATCGACCATGACCGTTCTGGTTGGAGCTGACGCGTTCACATTAAACTACTTGCATTCTGTCTTCTCTTGCGCCTTGAAAGCGAGAATCATTCATATCCATGTTTTTTCCTAGGCGCAAGTAAGGAGTTTTTGGGAAATTTATTTGCTTAGGCCCACAGAAAACAAGGGTTCATGAAGCGCATGCTGTTCCAGTAGCCGCTTCGAAATGAGTCTCACAGCGGGTTGAAGAGATAGCATAGGATCTGAGCCCGGGTCATGATGGACCATGCTTGGGCCTCAATCCTCTTTTCCATTTTGTCACAGACAATTTTGAGAGCATAGGCCGGGACCCAGCGGGCGGTCGCCGAGCCTTTTCCAGTCAAGTCTCCAGCACGCGCGAGTGTCTGGATGTTCGACCGTGTTGCACCCAGCTGACGGGCAACCAAGGTACACCTAGGGAGGCAGAGATTCACCGGGTCGCGGGCAACCCAGCGGAAAACTTGCTCAGCTCTGGTTTGCATGTGGGCATGTCCTGCACCGAACTGTGATCAGTGTCAGATGCACACAGATTCCTCTTTTGTGCATGCACTAGCACTCTTGCCTCTCGCAGTTTTGGGGCTCACGCCCAGGTTGACTCTCTTGACCCCTGGGATGTGTTGTGCTGCAGGCCTCTGAGGTCGCGTGCTGGGCGACCCGCGTGGGGTTGCCAACTCGAGTGCCATGCCCATGTTGACTATGGCGGAGCTAGGGTCCAAAGCAGGGGCAGGCAAGCTGGTCATGGAATATTTGGAGTGCCGTGGCATCCTGTCTGTAGGCACATTAGCATCCACGGGCTAGGATTATGAGAGCGCCATCATCCAGCCACTCCTTGATGGCTATGAGGCAGGCGGACGCAAATTTGAGCTGGCGCCCGCAGACCAGCCCATCGCAAAAGCGATGCTCAAATACATGCATGTGCTTGCGTGTGAGGCCCTGCATCAGTCCACTCCTGCTACATCCAGCGTGCCGACTGCTGCACCGCCTGCGGCAGTGGCGACCTCATCCATGCAAGGTTGGAGCCACTGACAAAGCCCCGAGAACGTTGCCGCCCAACGTTTGGTCAGACGCGATCAAGAAGTACAATTCAGTGTGCTTAGCTGGAGTTCCGAGGGAATTTCCTGAACGGATTTTGATCGGCGCTGAAAGCATATTAGCGAGAGTCCATTGGGAGCATTCGTGCTCAAAACTTTACACTCCCATTGAACTTGGAGAACTCTTGAGCAAACGTTCCTTTACTGCTACAGGAGAAGTTAATATGTTGGCTACCCGCAAACGCAAAGCTAAGCTTGAGTACACTGAAGATGACGGCCTGGAAGCAACGGATCCCGATCCTTGGGAGCCACGCAGTCCGTGGTCCATCATTGACGGTTTGGACTCCATCAGGTGGTGCTACATCCTGTTTGAGATCGGCGAGGAGCGGCAGGTCCATAAGTACTTAAATTCGACGAGATGGTCCGACGCGTCAGGTCCAAGACCCAGAAGCTCGAACAGTTCAGGGAGTTTTACTCAGCAGCGAGCTGGACTTTGTGCATGATGCTCAGAGTTGGGAAGACTTTTCAGGAAGCCTCCGACTTCGTGCTTCAGGACATGGCCACCTGGAACGAGCACATGGCGAAAGAGGCCAAATCCCCTTTCAAGAAGGAGGGAGACAATGGCAAGGGTGGTCGAGCGTGTCCGGACATGGACTAGGACCCAGAAGTGGCAGTGGAATCAGCAATGGCAGGGCGATAAGTGGCAGTCTCGAGGCAAGACACCGTGGCGGGGCAGCCAGCCTTCCAACCAGGAGTAGGGACAGCGCGGGGCCTTGTTGGACAAGGTACCCGGCCAGTCTCCTCACGTCAGCGCTGAGAATCCATTAGTACCGGAAGCAGCGGACGTGCAGCAGCCTCAAGCAGGTTCCCAACACAAGTGCATGGGTCAGCAGAGTGCAGAACTGGCGACTTGGGAAGCGTGTGCATCAGCCTCAGTTAGTCGCAAGGAGGATGATGCGTCCATCCGGGGCTGCGAGCCAGCTCACAGTCAGGAGCAGGTGATGGCCAAGCTCTTGCCGCTGCGGGGATCATCGTCTACGCCGGTGACTGGTCTTCAGCATTGCCCTGAGGTCATCTTGCTGAGCTTCTTCGATGGCATCGGATCCGCTGCTTTGTTGCTGCAGTCCTTGGGGATTAAGATTCGCGCGTGCTTTGAGTGGGAGGTGGACGAGGCCGCCATTTCCGTCTCCAGCCGGGTGCCTGTGCAACATCGGATCCGCCATGGAGACTTGACCAAGGATGACGCGACCCAGCTGGCGCAGGAGCTCAAAAAGCTTCGAGGCAGCAGCGACTGCTTGGTGCTGGCCACGGCAGGGCCGCCTTGCCCAGATTATTCTCCCATCAAGGAGGTCCGGCGCCTCCGGCAAGCTCTTCGTTCACTTCGTGGAGTTTATTCTAAGGCCGAGCGTGAGTTTGGAGCGCCGTTTGCACTCCTCGTGGAGAACGTTGTCCTTCAGTCATCAGCGGATGCAGCATGGTTCTCCAAACAGTTGCGAGCCGAGCCAGTCATGGCAGATGGCGCTGAATTTGGCCTCATAAGTCGTCCACGCCTGTGGTGGACTCGTGTCAACTGGTCATCCTGCGTCACTTGCCCGTATGACAGCGACAAACAGCTGCGATGGGAGTCCAGCCAGGGCTACCAGAAGCTTCGGCCACACATCATCAAGGATGAGGCCTCCTCAATAGTCATGAAAGGTTTGAAGTTCCACAACGACATTGTGCAGCATCGCAAGCTTTTACCTTGCCTCACTACCCCTGCACCAACGGATGCAGGGAGAGAGCCACCCAAAAGGATGAGGGGTCAGATTGCTCCTCTTGTTCGTCAACGTTGGCTTGAGCATCAGAAACAGTATGCGCCGTGGGTCTATCAAGACCACGCCTTGGTCTTCGAAGAGTCTGGGTCGTGGCAAGTGTTGCCGGCCGAGGTCAAAGAACAGCTGCATCATTACCCTCCTGGCATGACGTCAGCACCACACGTGAAACCTACAAATCGACACCGTCTCCTAGGCAATTCCTGGCACCTGGGCATTGCACGCTATTTGTTGGCGCTGGTTCTGCTGAGTTTCGTTCAGGGCAGCGGGTCGGTTCAGGTACCGATGGATGTGCGGGAGACTCAATTTGATATTGACTCCCTCATGCATGATGCCGCTCTGAGGGGCATACCTGTTGCTTCAAACTTGAAGGAGCACGCCTTCCTGGCCATCAGGCCGTGCGAGGACATGCAGTCACATTGGGAGATTAGTACTGAGCTTCAGCACCCTCTCTTGCAAACACCACGCCTCTCGAGAGCTTTGGAGTTGACCATTTCTGGCATGACAGACAAGGGTCAGGACCTTCCTAGTTTTCGTGCGTGCTCGCGCCATAGAGGCGGTGAGCAGACTCCGCCAGAGGCTTCAAGAAACCACCGCGGAGTGGTTCAAAACCTTGTCACCGCACGTTGCTGCAGCTCACACATTCGATGAGGGCAAGCAGACTGTTCAAATCCCTTTGCTGATGCATCTGCTCCGAGGTTGCGGCTATGAGGACGCGGACAACCTGGAGAAGGATCTCACTCGAGGCTTCCCATTGATTGGGTCTTTGCGTAAATCACCTGGCTGGCATCCTAGGACGGACTCTCTGTATCTGAATCCGGTGTCCGAAGAAGCTTTCTGCGCCTTGAACAGATCACACATTCAGACCAGGGCCAGGCAGTCCAGGCCTGATCCGGAATGGAGGACCATGCTGGATGAGGTCTTGCAAGAGTGTCGTCAGGGCCGCATGGAAGGTCCTTTCGCGGCACCTCAGGGATGGGTTTTTTCTGCAGTTCCTGTCCTTGCGCACAAAGGGTTTGACAAGCTTCTTGAACTTCCTGCCGGGCCTCATTACGGCGCGTTCGCTTTCAGTGTCTGCCAGGAAGGTAGTGATGGCCATCGCAAAGTCAGACGTTGTGAGGACTACCGACGGAGTCACCACAATGACACAATCCATGTTTTGGACAATGTTGATGCTTATGTGCAGGTCATTCGGGCTTTCTCTCTGCACCACGACAGAGTCCTGCTCTGGGGGCAGGACATGTGGGCCGCCTATCGGCAATATCCGGTGGAGGACCCAAACCACGCTTACCTGTTGCTGGTGTTGCCTTGGAGTGTCTCAGTTTGGAGACATCGAGTTCTCATGTTCGGGGCCACGGCCTCAGTGTGGCACTTTAATAGAACGGAGGACGCCATCATCTGGCTTTCTAGGTGTCTATTGTTCATTCCATCCATGCATTATGTGGATGACGTAGGCGGGGCTGAACCTGCTCTGTCGGCTCCTTCGGCCTGCTGGTCCTTCCGCAAACTGTGCGACCTCCTTGGGATCCGAGTCAAGCCCAGCAAAGAGCAGCTGCCAGCACTGGTGCAGAAGCTACTTGGGGTCTGGTTGGCGCACAAGGGGCTGTACCTGGAAGTCAGACGTCGGCGTTTACGCATGATGGAAGCCATCCCAGGCGTGCTGCATGAGGACAGCTTGCCTCCCGAAATGGCGTCCAAGCTTGCCGGGAAATTGGGCTTCCTGCAGACAACTCTCTTCGGCAGCATGGGAAAAGCGTGTCTGGTTCCCATACACGCCCGTGCCTCTGGCGGTGCCAGCCAAGCTTGCACTCTGAACAACGGTGCTGCAGGTACCATTAGGAAAGACGCAAGAGGGCACATCCATCATCTACGCCGATGCTTTCTTCCTGCTTGGGGATATCAAGTGCCGGCCGGGAGACGTGGTGGCAGGCAGGTGGCCGCGCCAAGGGGCGCAGAAGCTTCGCAACGGCTGGGGCTTCTTAGTCAGGACCGGTGACCGTGTGACATACGCTCATGGCTCTGTACCTGCGGACATCATTCAGCTTTACAGCTCCAGGAAAGCTTTCTTGAAATCCATGCCCAATTGTTGGCTCTTTTGACCAATCGGTTTTCCCTTAATCGATTCTGGATCAGTTTTATCGATAACCAGGCAGGTCGCAGCGCGCTGCTGAAAGGATTCAGTAAGGAACCAGCAGTGAACAACCTGCTCGCCTTTTATTGGTGCTTGGCAGCGCGATGTGGTTGGCATGGACACTTTGAGTATGTCCGCAGCTCGTGCAATGTCTCAGACCCCATCTCGAGGGGAGATCTTCAAGCAGCTCACGAAGCTGGCTGGATCCCACTTCGCAGTCCTGTACACGAGTGGTGGGGCATACTGCGTTCTGTAGCCTCTGACATGCTGGTGGCCACAGGTGAAGCAGTGGACAGGGCATTGGCCCTCACTTGGCACTTCCACTGATGGAGGCTGTTCTGGGTTGCTGCACTCGCATCTGCGGGGAGTGGGCTGCAAGTGCGGCTGTTCAGATGCAGCCCGTCCCCTCAGATGGGCGTTGCCAGATTCAAGCATCCAGGAAAGAGCGCCTCATCGAGAAAAGGAGGCGTCTCGCTTATGCTGTGAGCGTAGTGCCATGTTTGGGAGCACATGCTTGTGCGCATTAACATGTCACAGAGCTGCAGCTCGGGTTCACGTGTAGCGTGGGCTCGAGCTGCCCGTTTCTTTTGAGGCCCACCCACGGCCACCCTTTGTACCGGTGAGGTAGTGTCTTGTACGTTCGGCTTCGCCTTACGTTTTCCACTTGAGGGGAGTGGCTGTTCAGATGCAGCCCGTCCCCTCAGATGGGCGTCGCCAGATTCAAGCATCCCGGAAAGACCGCCTCATCGAGAAAAGGAGGCGTCTCGCTTATGCTGTGAGCGTAGTGCCATGTTCGCAACTTCCGCTGTGCTTTAGATGCACTCTGTTTGGTTTCAGAGGTCAGGTTTGAGGCGCAGGGTTGAGTGTGTCGGAAACATGTACGGAGTAGAGCCAACGGGCTGCTTACTCGCTACATGCGGATGCGACCCGAGTCGCCAAAGCACTCCTGCACAAAGCCAAAACGGCATGGATCCTTGCGCAGATGTTTTGCTGCAGGGAACATTCCCACAGCTTGGGAGCTGTACCTCACCTTGACCCTGACCGTTCTCTTTTTGGGGGTTACTCGGTTCCTTTTTCATAAGTATAAACCCAAGGGCATCCAAGGTCCAGGTAAACTCCAAAATGCCCGAAATTTGCTCTGCTCACACCTTACTTTGCCAGGTGCCCCTCATTCAGTGGAATGGCGCCGCACTGCGGGCAGATTTTGAGGCAGGAGCTTCCGGATTGTCAGACTTATAAGGGACAAGGTTTAGTGCGGGGAGCTTAGGCGATGAGTACGAGTTGTAAAGCATAGTCTTTAGTTATGAGTTGGAGAGCTAACGATTAATTATGGAAGTTCTGGATGATGCATGCTACTGTACATAACATCAAGGAGGAGCTTAGGAACTTGTTCCACGTTGTGTGCACTTAAGAGGTTTGAGAAGGTCTGGATGCAGCTCGGTGCAAACTCTCACTGACTTTGTATGCTTCATCCTTAAAGGAGGTGTTCGTTCTCTTTCGGAGCTTTCTTGGTAGTGCAAGTATCACCTGGGACAAGACTGGAGGTAGGTAGTCTACTAGCGACGCAAAAACCGCACTGTGGCCCCACATAACGCGATTTCAAGCTGGGTGAGAAAGGGGTCAGGCGGCCAAGCTTCGGCCGTAAAGAGTTTGCAGCTTGCGCAAGTACAAACTAGAATCCAAAGGTTTGGCAGCAACAAATTCGGGGTCTGTGCCATACATCTTGTAAGGAGCCAGAATCCCTTTCAGAAAATGTAAGTAAAACACCAAGACCACCAAGACTAATATCGCTTAGCTGGCCTCATAGCCGTGATTTGAACCTCCTGTCGCACAGTCGGTCATAAGTAGGTTTCTTTTTGGATCGGGGTCCTGTTTTAAGGATGTGCTTCATCGGCCAAGTTTCCGTCCGCAGGGCTTGTTCTCTGAAATCCTCAGCCCAAACCTAACTCAAGGTGGGCTCACATCTCGGTACGGTCGGACGCCAGCAGCTCAAGTGTTTTTGCGGGAGGCAGGTAAGGCAAATCACACCGACATTGTTCCACATACCAATGTCAGAGCTTTGAGATTCAGGTTTACAGTGGCACCGCGTTGGGGGAGGGATGTTGTATGAAACCCGACGTCATAAACTGTCTGGGCCACCATCATATCATGTCTGGGCCTGAATTGAGATGACTTCGGCCCTAACCCGAGCCCTTCAGGCTTGCAAAACGTTCGCAGGTGTAAACCCTAAAAACCCAACAGGCTTCGGAGCCTCGTGGGCTTCAGAGATTCATGAGATGAGTCCGGACATTTGCGGCTCCATTGCTTAACTCATGTTTCCACCAGCTAAGGCTAATCTAGAACAGCCACTCTAAATATTTCAAAGTACACTTCAGTCATCAGGCCTGCATGTTCAGTCTGCAGGGTCTCTAGTCGCCGAAGTCCAGCTGCACATCGGCTCCTGGCTCCCCAGGGCGGCATAATATTGAACAGGCCTGCTAGGAAGGGTCATCAGATACCACAGTAGGATTCCAGCAGATTCTGCAGCCCAGTGCAGCACGGATGCTCGAGCCCCCTTCTAAGTCTCCAAATCCTGTCAATCCGACCTGTGAGCCTGATGATACGATGGAAGAGCTTCAAATTTGGCTGGTGGTCTTTGGCATGGGGGCATAGGCCAGGCAAACGAGAAGAGACGGGATGGACGGGCTTGACCTCATGCAGAGTTTAGTTTATAAGAGATTCGCGGCAAAAGGTCCATTCTCCAGACACCCCCTGAAGTCGAGTCTAGCGGAAACAGAATCGCCGTTTTCGCTCGATCACATGAACGCTGGGCCCATTGGAATGTTGAAGCTTGTGCACTGTACGGACCTACCTGTGTTGTCCGCATTACGTTCAACCTTGAGCATACCACCGAAAACCATTTGATTTGTGGGCGGTTGCCATGCATCGTTTTCCGACCAAGCGGCCTCGTTTGTAATTCGGTTGAGTTTGCAACGGCCTCGTTGGATTCTGGATATCGGAGTCTTTTGTTAAGCAGACTCCAGGGGAAAGGATTCATTTCCGCTCTAGCGTGCGCGCAGTGGAATCCTGGCAGACGGGATCAAAGCATACTTCTATACACTACTTGAACACCTTGCGCAATCCCAGAAGACACTTTTTAAATTTCCAGCAAAATCCGAAAAGCTGTAGGTACATGGATTTACAGACAGAGTTTCTGGAAGAGGTGAACTGTGAGCAGTGCAGTGATAAAGTTCGTATTATTGCTCGCGTTCAGCCTTCAATGCTAGATTCCTTTATGCCTGCCTTGACGCGTGTCTTACAAGTCCCGCCCAGCTATGTTGTAGAACAGCACTCTTCAATGTCACTACGCGACAATGGTGGTTTGAAGTAGACCTTGTTCTCCTGGGCTTGGGCCCTTGCTCCCAAATGATAGCACCCAGCATGCTGGAGATATGGCAGCAGGACGGCACCTTGAAAGCTACATCCATGCTATAGGCTTTCCGATTAGTTTCAGCTCGCATATTGACAGCAAACTAGGTTGCTAACCTTGTTCGCCCCTGATTGTGAAAGACCATCCATCCCATTGCATCAATTGTTGTCTCTAAAGCAAACCTTCATGATAGGGGGGAAGAGAAACTCTAAGCTGGGTAAACAAAGGCACTGACCCTACAAGCTGCGAAAATGGCTGCCCATGCGCTTAGCACATGGAAATGTATGACAGGGAGCCAGCACACTCTAGGTAGCCTTACATCCCAGACCCTAAGCCGCCAACTTTAAAAGTATCGGCCCATGCGCCAAGATGAACCTGTTGAACCTTAATATTTGACAAGAAGATGCAGGCAGCTCGGCGTGCGCAGTGCCCTGTGCGCATGCCAGGCATCTCTCAGTCTTTTGCTCTGACGCTTGGTCTGAAACCTTGGGCTTAAGGAAATAGCTCAGACATTGCAAACGCTTAGGGTTTCGCGGCTCTGCGGGCTTGAGGCTTTGGAATGCGCAGTTTCATCTTGAGCAACATACGGCAAATACCTCCTCGCTTATGTTCTTTAAAGCAAAGGTTTGGGTGGATCTGGAAAGGGCAACTCTCAAAGTCCGGCCTTACCTCAGAGTTTTGAAGCTTTTACTTAGCCGAAGGTAGTTTGTGTGGATATGCTCGAGAGCCTATACCGTACTCCATGAAGACTTTATAGCATAGGAGCCGGGAAGTGACATGCTTTGTGTAAATATGAGCACCACGTGCATTCTTACGGGACGTACCCTCACGCCATCACAGTCGTGCAATCTGGGCATAAACTGCAGCAACCGCAAAATTATATGGGCAAGCCGCTCCAGCAATGCCCGCGCAGTCACACCAGGATGAGGTAAATCGGGTGCAACTTCAGACATCTGTTGTTTAGTCAGCTAAGATTGAGATGTCCCCACAACATTGAACCTCACGCAGAAGACCGCGAGGATCTGGGGCGTGCATGTTGGGATTAGAAACAAAAACCTAGAATGGCATGGGTGCGCAGATTTGGGCTCTAATGAGAATGGGGATCTCTACATCAACTCCTTAAGTCCTTGAAGAGACACCGCAACCTGGTGGAGTAGACTATGCTGTATCCAGGATCTTAGAAGCCTTGCGATATACCGAAAGCCCTGCATACGTACGAAAGATACCCAGAACTTGACGGCTCCCCCTAACCCACCCATCTTGCAAAAACAAGGCATCCGCTTTAACCCGTTTAAGCAGCTTCTGAAACTTCACCATTCAAATCCGGGGTTTCAGATGGTTTTGGACAAAATTGCCGCTATGATCTAGAGAAGCTTGCTGCTAAATATAAGCGTAAGCCCGAGGTTCCTTCTCCATCGACGTACATCACAATTATTGGTTTGCGTGCTGCCAGGCAGTGGCTCAGCTGCTTGAGGTTTACGCTGTAACGTTGCTTCCTGAGCTAGCCCTTGCGGAGCTAGAGGGTCTCTCTGCATGTATAGAAAGCCCCCTAGAAGATGTCATGCAAAAAAGCTCAGGAGACATTTTCGGGACGTCTATTTTTCCATTGCTCATTAGTGTTGGGGGAGGGCATCCTCATTATTGAAGATCTCAGATTAGTTCTCAGAGTATGCCAATTTCAAATCGACCCTAGCCAGGGTTTTTGCAGGTTTGGGAATTGGAGCTGTCTTTGCTGCACCTCCTAGAGTTTTTCTGTTCGACCCGCCATCCTTTTTTCCTCCCTGCCATTTTTCCACCCCTCAAAAGCGCTTTTTTCCTCTTTCTGTCTTCCCACCTCCAGAGTGTTGATCTCATCCTCAAAATGACGTCTGCCAAGGTACATTTGGGGAGGACTTGGGTTCGGCGCATGAGGATAGTT